AGGAGGAGGAGGAGGAGGAGGAGGAAGAGGTGGAGGGGGGAGGAGGAGGGAGGGGGAGGGAGGAGGAGGGAGGAGGAGGAAGACCAGAGCCAAACCCAAGATGCATCAACGATGATGCTGCAACACACCCTCCCTATCCACGTCCCCCTTCCCAACGGGTACCTGCAAGCCTTCCCTTTCACTGCGCGAAGCAGCCCCCATGAAAGACGAACGCCCCCTGGTCCCGCAATTCGGGTGGGAATTCCGTTGTGTAAGGAATTGCCCCCCCACCCCACCCTTGGACCAGGACGGTTTCAGGACTGGGGGGGGGAGTTTCTGTGAACATGGGGGGGGGGGCAGTGTCTTTCACAATGTTGGGCTGTTTGAGCCTCTTTTTTTCTTGGCCAGACTTCCTGGCAGCGCGCCCGCGCAGCTCGTGCAGGCACTGGTGGTGAGCCGTGCTGGGGGGCAGCTCGGGCGAGAGCCACGCGCCGCAGAGCAGCCGCCTCCCGCCCGTGCAGCCGCTTGTCATCCCCAGACGAGCGCGCGCGGCGCCGAGGCGAGAGCCCGATGCTGCAGACGGCTCGCCGTCCAGCGGTGCATCTTCTGACAAGCTCACTACTCAGTGCCGATGAGGCAGAGGGGTGCAGCAGGAGGAGGAGGAGGAGGAGGAGGAGGAGGAGGAGGAGGAGGAAGGAGGAGGAGGAAGTGGAGGAGGGGTAGGACTATGAAGGGGTCGAGGCGGCGGAGAGATGAGAGGAGCAAGGAGAGAAGAGACGGAGGACCCAGGGAGCGGAGAGGAGGAGGAGAGGAGGGAGTGAGGAGGAGGAGGAGAGGTGGGGAGGAGGAGGAGGAGGGACGGAGAGGGGAGCAGAGGAGGAGAGGAGGAGGAGGAGGAGGAGCATCAGGTGGAGGAGGAGGAGGAAAAGGAGGGGAAAAGGAGGGGAAAAGGAGGGGAAGGTTGAGGACAAAGAGTGGGCGCAGGGGGAGGAGGCAGAGAAGGGGGAGGTGACGCATGAGGGCTTGGACGCGCGATCCCGCCCCTCCCGCTTGCCCCCTCGAGGGGTCCTGGAGCGTCCTCGCCCGAGGGGGGGAGGCATCTACCACTCCGGGCCGTCGTTCGCGATCCTTGCCGCCGCCGTCGTCTGCTACACGGAAGGTGCAGGCCTCGCCCGCTTCACGTACACCGGCGCCGTTCTGGGGTGTGTGGCCGCCAGCACGCTGACCACAGGACACACGACCCCCGCCACGCCCGCCAATCCGATCCGACCTCCCCCTTCCCCGCGTCGACGGCACCCCGCCGCACCTCGGAGCTCTGCCAGGCGCCATCTCGCACCGGCCTGAGACGGCCGTGGCCCCCTCCCCCTCACCCCTCCACCACTCGTGCCCAGGGGGGGAGAGGAGGAGAGGAGGCGGGGGCAGGAACTGGACTGGAGGCCGTGGCGAGGGTCTCGGGAGAATGTCCACCTGCGCGGGCACCGATCCTGGCTGGGCCAGCCCCGCGCCCGGGAGCGGCTCGCGCGCCAGCCTGTCGAGGCTCGGGAGGGCGTGGTCACCGATCCTTGGCCCAGGATTGGCCCAGCCTGCATCGGTGTGGGTGGAAAGCCAGCGGCGTGTCCTGCAGGAGTTGTAGTGTTGTCGGGCTTCTGGCTGGTGAAGCTGGCGGGGGCCCTCGCAATGAAAGTGGTGACCCAGGCGCGCTCCATCGGTCTCATCCTGTGCTCCGTGTTCTTCTTCGGGGAGTTCTGCACTGGTCCGCAGTATCTGGGCTACACGATCACTTTAATTGGCATGGGACTCTTCGACAACGCCAAGCAGATGCTGAAGAACGCCGCCTGCGGCGACGAGGCCAAGGCCAGGCAGTGTTCTTGACATCGCCCAAGGGGCTCTGTAGGAAGGCGTGGGACTGTAGACAGGAGGCGCTTGAGAAGAAAAGGTGCGCCGAGGAGAAGTCGGAAGAAGGACGAGGTCGACAGCAGGGAGGGGGATAGAGGAATAGAGGGAGGAACGATGATGATGGTGATGATGATGGTGGTGGTGATGATGGTAATGGTGATGGTGATGGTGATGGTGATGGTGATGATGGTGATGGTGATGGTGGTGATGATGATGACGATGCTGATGACGATGCTGATGCTGATGCTGATGCTGATGCTGATGCTGATGCTGATGCTGATGATGATGATGATGCTGATGATGATGATGATGATGATGATGATGATGATGCTGACGTGGAGGAACGAGTGGGGACTGGCGGAAGCGAGACATGATATGAAGCTCAAGGGCCGATTGGCATGCGTTGTGTTTTTGGCCCCCCGATGCCCTGTGCCCTCTTCCTCCTTCCTCCTCCTCCTCCTCCTCCTCCTCCTCCTCATCATCATCATCATCATCATCATCATCATCATCCTTCTCCTCCTCCTCCTCCTCGTCCTCCTCATGCTCCCCTCGCGTTCCTCCGTCTCCCTCTCCCCCCTTCCTCTCCCCTCTTCCTCGTCCTTCTCCTCCTCGCCTTCTCCTTCCCTTCTCATCCAATTCCTCAACTTATATCCGGCCCCCTCCTCAGCCCACTTTTTTCGTGTCCCTCCGCCGCATCTAGCGTATCCTCCTTCTTGTCCGTTGCCCTTCGCCATGAGGCACCGTCGAGGCTGACGGAACCCGTGCAGGATATGTGTTTCAGGTTTGAAAGAGGCCTTGTAGTAGAACGGTGGCGTTACAAAGTATCGGTTGCGCCAGCAGTAGCAGCATCAGTATCAGTAGCAGTAGCAGTAGCAGCAATAGTATGAGTAGGCGTCGGAGTAGTAGTAGTAGTAGTAGTAGTAGCAGCAGCAGTAGTCGTAGTAGCAGCAGCAGCAGCAGCAGCAGTAGTAGTAGTAGTGGTAGTGGTAGTGGTAGTAGTAGTAGTAGTAGTAGTAGTAGTAGTAGTAGTAGTAGTAGTAGTAGTAGTAGTAGTAGTAGTAGTGGTAGTGGTAGTAGTCGTCGTAGTAGCAGTATGTGTCCCAGTAGTAGTAGTAGTAGTACTACTACTACTACTACTACTACTACTACTACTACTACTACTAGCAGTAGTAGTAGTAGTAGTAGTAGTAGTAGTAATCGTAGTAGTAGTAGTAGTAGTAGTAGTAGTAGTAGTAGTAGTAGTGGTAGTAGTAGTAGTAGTAGCAGCAGTAGAGGTAGTAGTTGCTGTTGTTGTAGTAGTAGTAGCAGTAGTAGTAGTACTAGCAGTAGTAGTAGTAGCAGTAGTAGTAGTAGTAATAGTAGTAGTAGTAGTAGTGGTGGTGGTGGTAGTAGTAGTAGTAGTAGTAGCCGTAGCCGTAGCAGTAGTAGTCGTCGTAGTCGTAGCTGCAGCAGCAGTAGCAATAGTCGTCGCCGTCGTAGTAGCAGTAGTAGTAGAAGCAGCTCTATATTACTCGTAGTAATCGTAGACGTAGTAGTAGTTGTAGCATTCGGACTTGCTCTTGTTGGCCTAGCAGCAACAGTAGTCGTAGCAGCAGAAGCAGCAGCAGTAGTAGTAGTACTAGTAGCGATAGAAGTAGAAGTTAGAAAAGTAGTAGTAAACGTAGGCGTAAAAATGAAGGCAGTGGTTGGTAAGCGTAGTCGTAGTCGTAGCCGTCGTAGTAGCAGTAACATTAGTAACAGTAGTAGTAGTAGTCGTCGTCGTCGTGGTAGCAGTAGTACTACTACTACTACTACTACTACTACTACTACTACTACTACTACTACTACTACTACTACTACTACTAATACTAATACTACTACTACTACTACTCCTACTACTACTACTACTACTACTAACTACTACTAAGTAGTACTAGTACTAGTACTAGTACTACTACCTAGTCAGTACTAGTAGTCTAGTACTACTAGTAGTACTAGTACTAGTACTAGCACTAGTCGTAGTAGTAGTAGTAGTAGTAGTAGTAGTAGTAGTAGTAGTAGTAGTAGTAGACGTAGCAGTAGTAGTACCAGTAGTAGTCGAAACCAAGTGCCCTAGCCAGCCCAACCAGCCAGTCCAACCAACCAGCCACCCAAACAACTCAACCAGCTCAACCAGCCCAACCAGCCCAACCCGCAACCCCAGCCACCCCGCCACCCCGCCAACCCGCCCACCCCCGCCGCCTGCCCTCCGTCACCGTCGAAAGGGGGGGGGAAGTGATTTTCACAAGCGAAAACCACAAAAATCAACCTCGCGGGGTCCGGCGGGACAGCGGGGGGAGGGGAAATCGCACCGTACTATGGGGGAGCGGGATTCGCGCCCGAGGTGCCCGGCGGCTCCGGGATGGTGGAGCTCCACAGCCACACCGCTGCGGACCACTTCCTGGACGGCCTCCTGCTGGAGCTGAAGTCCAGTGTGCCGAACGAGACCGGCCTCTTGCAGAGTGGTCTGAAGGTCACCACGCCGAGCGAGCAGCAGAAGAAGGACAAGGAGTTGATCAACCATCTCCAACTTGCGCCAGAGGTGATGACGAAGGGGAAGGAGATGCTACTCCAGTCACCATTGGAAGTTGGCAGCCTGAACGACGCGATGGAGACGAAGGGTCGCCCAAGGTCCAATAGGAAGTGGACCGCCTCAACGACGTTATCGAGAAGAGAGGCATTGCCAAGGCCAACAAGGACATCAAGGATATGAAGGACACCCTCCAACTCTTCCGCAAGAGCCACGCTGAGATGAAGCCGCAGCTGAAGGAGCAGCTCACCGAGGAGGTGCAGGAGAAGCTGGCCGAGACCACACATGATCTTGACAGCATGAAGTTGCAGATGAACGCGAGCCACGCCCGCGTAGACCAAGCCAACGATGAGATGAAGGAGATGGTGCTCCAGCCCGTCGGTCAATCCAACGGGCAAATAGAGGAGATGAAGAGAAGCAGCTCCAGACGGAAGTTGGTTCTTCCAATGACAAGAACGAGACGAAGGGCCTTGCCAAGGATAAAGAGAATATGAAGGACATGCAGAAACAGCTTCAATTCTTCGCCGGCGGCCAGGCTGAGATGCAGCTAAAGCTGATGGAGCAGTTCACTAAGGCGCAGCTCAAGATGGCAAACGTCGGAGAAAAGGACCTTGACAACGCGAGGCTGCAGATGGAGTATTGCAGTAGTCGCCTCGACAAGGCCGATGTCGAGACGAAGGAGATGATGCTCAAGCTCCAGACGGAAGTTGGCGCCTCAGAGTTAAGATGGAGACGAAGGGCCTAGCCAAGGCCACCAAGGACACCAAGGAGATAAAGGAGAAGTTCCAGCTCCTCCAGGACGGCCAGGCTGCGATGAAGGTGCAGCTGAAGGAGCAGCCCACCCACGAGATGCAAGAGAAGCTGGCCAAGTACAAGCCCGTCGTGCTCGAACGCACGCAGCCGCTGTCAGAGACCGCCCTGCTGCGCGGCCTCGCGAACACCAGCGGGGGGACCAAGCAGACCGCTTTCCCGTGAGGAGGCTGCGACGGGCGTGCAGCCCGCCTCCTGTCCCCTCGCCCCCCGCGGCCCTTGGCTGGGCCGAGGCAGCCCCTGCGCCTTTCGGCAGGCAGGTGAACCACAGCTGCCTCGGGAGCATCCCTCCCGCGTGTCGGTTGCGGGCGGGCGTGGAGCGCACTCACTCTGTAACCGAGGCGCCCTTGGAAAGGTCTCGCGAGGCAGCTCCTGCATCGGCAGGTGAACTAAAGCTGCGCACCCTCCTGCATCGGCAGGTGACTTGTAGGGTGCGAGAATACTTCTTATTAAATCACCATTGCAACGATGACGTGTACAATCAATCCTCCTCCTCCTCCTCCTCCTCCTCCTCCTCCTCCTCCTCCTCCTCCTCTTCCTCCTCCTCCTCCTCCTCCTCCTCCTCCTCTCCCTCCCCTCCTCCTCCTCCCCCTCCTCCTCCTCATCTCTTCCTCCTCCTCCTCCCCCTCCTCCCTCCTGTCCTCCTCCTTCCCCTCCTCCTCCTCCTCCTCCTCCTCTCCTCCCCTTCTCTCCTCCTCCGCCTCATCCTTCTCCTACTCCTCCCTCCTCCTCCTCCTCCTCCCTCCTCCTCCTTCCTCCTCCTCCCTCCCTCCTCCTCCTCCTCCTCCTCCTCCTCCTCTCCTCCTCCTCCTCCTCCTCTCCTCCTCCTCCTCCTCCTCCTCCTCCTCCTCCTCCTCCTCCTCCTCCTCCTCCTCCACCCCCTCCTCCTCCTCCTCCTCCTCCTCCTCCTCCTCCTCCTCCTGCTCCTCCCCCTCCTCTTCCTTCTCGTTCCACCCCCGCGCGAGAGGTCCTCCTGTACCTGCCCGATGACGACCTGACGGCCCTCCTCGGCCGTTGCCGTGAGGCACTCAGGACGGCGCCGCGCGCGGCCGGCCCCCGGAGCTCCAGACGCTTGGGCTGGGGCGCGAGAGCCGATCGCACAACGCACAGCTGTCGAGGAAGAGGAGAAAGGCGCAGAGGAGCAGGAGGAGGAGGAGGACGAGGAGGGGGAGGTGGAGGATTGGCAGGAGTGGGAGGGGAAGGAGGATCTGGAGGGATGGAGGGGGAGGAGGAGGAAGATTGGGAGAAGTGGGAAGCAAGAAACAGAAGAAGGATAGCAATCATGGTGAAAAGCAAGCGAACGGAAGAGGAGGAGGTCCCATCATCAAACAAAACATGGCCAGCGTCGGTCCCAAGGGCCGCCCGCACAACCGCCTCCCGTCTGGGAGCCCATACCCCCCTGGGACGGGGCACGCGTTGGGCAGCTGCCCGCGGTCGGACCTCCAGCAATCGGGGGTGGACAGACCTCCTACCCTGACACGTCGATTAGTGAATTGGCCGTTTTCGGTTCGCGAGAGGGCGTCGCGGCCATCGTTTTTGCGGTTTTTGGTCCGTCGGTTTTGGTCCCAGGCAGTTTTCACTAAGGGGAGGTTTACTAAAGGGAGGTTTGTCCACCGCCGAAGCAAGTCTGGGGGGTTGCTGTGCATGCACGACCGCCCGCTCCGTGCCCAGAGGGTCGGAGCAGTGCCCGATTTGGGATTCACAGAGCAGGGGGAGGAAGAGAAGGTGGAGGAGAGCAGCAGGAGCAGGGGGTGGAGGGCGGAGGGAGCACAAAAGGAGGGATTTTGGACAAGGGGGTGGAGCAAGGAAGGCAGGTGGAGCGAGGGAGAAACAGATCAGGGCTGGAGGGGAGGAATGGGGGAGGAGGAGGAAGGGAGGAGGAGGCCGGAGGAGAGAGAGCAAGGCAGGGAGAAGGTGGCGGATGAGGCTGCTATGTCTCGCCGAAGTTCCGCGGGTGTGGGTGTAGGTGTAGGTGTGGGAAGTGGAAGTGGCTGTGCGGGTGCGTGTTCCTTGTGGGTGCGGGTGTAGGTGCGGGTGTTACTGTGGGTGTTCCGTGGGTGTGGACCTGGCTTCGCAGTCGCAGGGGGAGGAACTGGAAGGAGCAAACGGAGGTGAAGGAAGAGCACGATGATGCGCCGCGGGGCGGCGCGCAGCGGGTCCTCTCCTCGGGGTACCCGAGCTGCCCGCCGCGCACCGCCTTCGCTTCCTGCTGCCCCCGCCCACCCAATGGTTCAGGACAGACGCAGGCGCCAGCTTCGGAGCGCGCGCAGATAATAGCGACAACAGAAAAACGCCAGGTGCTGAAGCTCGCGCAACGCATGCTCAAGCGATCGCGCTCGAAGCGATCCGCAGTCGAATATGATCGAAGCTCACGTTGGCTGCGCAAGAGCAGACCAGCGCGCGCGACACCCCGGCGCACCGAAGCCCAGGCTTCTCATGCACACAGGAAATTGGTTCGTTCTGTTGAGAAAGCCACGCGCCAGGCCCCAGAGGGCCCGGCTGCATTTCGGCTTTTCCAGGGCACGAAGTGCCTGGGAATCTACGCAGGGGAGGAGTTTAAGCAGCGGCCTCCTCAGCTCAGGAATGGTTAGCTCCCAGACGGCGCCGGCGCGAATCGTGACGAGATCAGGGGGGCGGGGGGAAGGCGGGGCGGGGGCGGTCATTGGCGCTTTTGCGAATGATGAATAATTATTCGAATACACACATATATATATATATATATATATATATGTCAAGCGATTTCTAATGCGACATACGTGATACGGACTGTTGTATGCTTTTGTACAACAAAACAACCTCTGTGGTGGTCTGCCTGTCTGTCTGTCTGTCTGCCTGTCTGTCTGTCTGTCTGTCTGTCTGTCTGTCTGCCTGCCTGTCTGTCTGTCTGTCTGTTTGTCTGTGTTTGCCTGTCTGTTCGTCTGCCTGTCTGTCTGTCTGTTTGTTTGTTTGTTCGTGTGTCTCCCATCTCCCCATTTACCATTCCTCCATCTCGTCTCGTTTCCCTTCCCCCGCATTCCCCCCCCCCCTGCTCCGCTCACCGCCGATCGCCTCCCCCCCCTTTCCCCCCCCCCCTCTTGCGTCCACCCTTCTGGCGTTGCCTCCCCCCGCCTCTCCCTCCGCCCATCTCTCCCCCCTTCGCCACGAGCACACACCTTCCACGTTCGATCGGCACCCGCTGCAGGTTCTACGGCGCCGAGTGCGGCATTGGACTGGAGAGAGTGCGGCGGCCACAAAAATCCCTTCGCCACGCCCTCCCCAACTGCGTCGGCGGCGCTGGACGACACCAACTCCGACGACGTCCGCGACACCTCCTCCTCCTCATCCTCCTCTTCTTCATCATCATCATCATCATCATCATCATCATCATCTTCATCATCTTCAGCAGCAGCAGCAGCATCATCACACCCTCATCGCTTCACCCTCGTCCTTTCATCCTCTTTCTCCTCACCCACCATTCCCCCCCGCATCCTTCACATCGCCAGGACATGCCATCATCGTCTTCCGTTCCTCCTCACCATCACCCCCCCCCGTCCTCCCAACCCACCCTCGCCACGCCTCGCCCTGCCCTCCGCGAGGACGGGCGGGCTCCTCTGCGTCAAAGAGAACGTCGTACTGGAGGGAAGGCATCCCGTGCGCGAGTGCTACTGACGAGGAGGTGAAGGTAGCGGAGGCAGAGGAGGAAAAGGAGGAGGAGGAGGGAGGAGCATGGAGGAGGACCAGGAGGAGGACCCCGTGTTAATCCTAATGAGGGTGACTGGGTCAGGAGAGTGGTAGTGTTGTTGTTACCGAGCGCGCGTCGCGATTGATCCCGCTTGGATCAAGGGAATGATCCTTCCCATTCGTGTTGAGCGTAGCGGTTAGCAAAATAGCGAGGTGAACTCGCGAAAAATTGCGGGCGCTGCCGCTGCCGCGGCCGCTGTAGGACCAGGAAACCCGGGGCGTGACTTAAACACCAGGCCAGGTGGCGACTATAATTACGTGAACGTCGCGTGATGAGTCAACCATGAAGGGCTGAAAGAGTTCATCGAACGACAAAAGACCACCATGATGAGAACGGCGACCAGTGATGAGAGCGATTGCCTACTGCCCATGGCCCAGGCAATGAACTCGTTGTCACTAAGTGTGGTGAACAGGAACATGTTCGCCGAGAACGAGTCGAAAAGAGTTGAGGAAAAGTTAGAGCACCGAGAAGACCAAGCGGATGGACAGAAAAGCACGTCTGACAGCGTTTCCAAGATAGCGGAGTCAGTTGCCGAGAGCAAGCACAAAACGGCGAAGGGTACCAAAGTGGTTAGGGAATGCAAAGCCATGCTGTGCAGCAGTTAAAAACATTCGTTGGTGGTCGAGGCAAGTTCAGGGAATGGAGCGAAAAGCTCCGGAACGCCCTCGCACAGGTCAATCCGAGTTACCGCAAGGCACTCAATAACCTGAACAACAATCTGGAAACCATGGACTGTGTATTAGACAAGGATGAAGACGACATGGCGAAGACATTCAGCGGTAAGTTAACGGTGGCCGAAATCACAAAATCGCAGGCACTTGGACAAAGACGATGAATGAGTTCGAAAGCAACCAGATGAACAAGTGAGAGGAGGACATGTGGCACATCCGCAACGACAGTCTGGACGGAGTGGAACAGCGAGGAAAGTTGAAAACGTTACACGAAGAAGACGGACCGCAGTCGCACCCAAAAATACAAGTGGTACTCGGCATTTACTGGCGGGAGCCCGGACAAACCGAAAAATATCATAAACGCGGCACCACAGTTAGAGCAGTGGACGGCGTTAAAGAAACGCTTGAGAAGCACGGGCGGGCTCACTCGTTGAATCTGCTGTTCTGTAACACCGCGTTACGAACTATCATATCATATGCCGGTGACCGGCTCGAGGACTGGCACTTGGACTATGTCAAAGCTCCTGATTCGCTAACACAGGAGAACGATCAAAAGCTGCATGTGAAATATGAGGACGGGGCCCGAAGAGCAGGTTAGACGCGGACATACAGCGCGACCCTGCCATGGAAATCGGAGGCGTTGACAACGCTAACGACGACAAATGCGAAGGCAGAAGCAAGTGGAATGATGCGGGTTACGTCGACGACAACGGCCATTGGTGGCGAGAGGAACAGCGGCACCAGTGGGACCAGGAAAACATGCAGGATGAAGACGCAGGAGTAGATGCCGTTCACAAAAGAAAAGGCGAGTGAAAAGGCCACAAATGTTACGATCGCGGGGGATTCGGGCACATCGCTGTCAACTGCTGGGCATAGGAAAAGGCAGAGGGAAAAGCAGTCGCAGAGGAGATAACTGGGAGGTCACGGAGGCAAGGGGGACCAAGGAGAAGGTAAAGGACAAGGAGGCAGGGGACATAGGGGGGCGCCTTCCAGCTTCCGCGAGGGAATGTTACGCCCGCGGTGACACAGGATACAATGCGGCCAACTGCCCTTCGAGGGAAGGCGCGAATGAGGTTGAAGAGTCGCAGAGCTGCGGAGAGAATTTAACTGCGCCGAACATAGAGCAACCCCAGCCACCCAGATGTTACAGCGTGGAACCTGAAGAGCCTCGCAGGCCGGCAGGACACGCGGTCCTTCCGCACGATCCTGACGACCGGCAAAAACATCACTGCCCGGACAAAACAAAGAACGGGAAAGTTCAAGTCGAAGAGCAGTTGCCAAAGCAAGCGAGGAGATAACTGCGCCCATCAAGCTGATCCCCACGCCAGGGGTCAAAAGGTGCATCGAGCACGAGCTGAGTTGGTTCGAAAACTGCGCGCAGGCGCAGTTAGTGAAGAGTCCGCGCGACGCTCCAGAAGTCGACGCGGCCCGTCAAAATGAGCAAGACGATGCATTCGAAATAGCGGCGGTTACTCTTGACCCCGGTGCTTATTTATCGCGCGGTGGAAGTACGACTGGTTGGTTCGCGCTTCCCCGCGCGGCCGCAAACCCACCGAGCCCCCCCGGTCAGGCCAGCACTGCGGCGCCGCCAACGGGCCCGTTATACGCAACTACGGTCAGAGAGCGATCAAGGGCATAAGTACAGAAGGCGCAAAAGTTGCCGCGCCGATTCAAGTTGCGGGCGCTCGGAAGGCACCCGCGCCCGAATTGCGCGAGAGAAAAACGGGCGCGGAAGGCCCAGCAGTCACTCGGGGCATAGAGCGAGCAGGCGCAGAACAGCTGTCGAAGAGATAGGATGTGAGCGGGAGCAAGGGCTTTCTGGAGCAGGGACCCCAGGCAGAGGACCAGTTCGACTAGGACCTCGCCAACCCGTCGGCGCCGCCACTGCGTCAGGGACAAAGCCAGGAGGCGCAACCACCGAACGGAAGCAAAAGAGACGGGAGGAGCGCCCGCGGCTACAGCGGGCCCCGCGCGGTCAAGAAGGCATGGAAGGAGCGATGGCGGAGAGAGAGGCATACCCCGCATTAGCGATGCCTTGCCGCGAAACAAAACCATATTAGAGCAATGTCGCCATCAAAGAGGAAGTGGGCCCGTGCCCACTCAGAGGAAGGGGCGATTTGACTGCGGTCACGCGCCGCGGGATAGTGAAACCGCGAGCAGTGCGTCAGAGAACAACTGCAAAACCCAACGATAATCATGTGCTGATACCATGGTTAGCGTCGCATGCATCATCGGTCATCAGTAGTTCCACAGACGACGCCGACGCGCGGCCCACGGGAGATGTTGAGGCGGCAAGCATGCCAGACAGCGCCGCGAATTCGGGGAACGCGCGACGCCGCGCAAGACTTCGCCCAAGAAGCAATGTTCAATGTAAAGGCCCAGGTGGGGTAGTTGAGTCTTCATCGGCATTTGGCGAGGTCAGTCAGGGGCCGACCACGGGGGCGGCGCGCGGGGCCGCCGGGGCCGCTGAGTCCAAGAGGAACGGAAGTGAAGAGGAAACGCGGAACATTGAGGATAGCGCCGCCATGCGCAGGCCACCGCGGCAACCAGGCCCCAACACAGCGGGCATTCAAACATTCGGGAGACGAGGGCGCGGCGAACGCAAAACCGATCATTGCCAGAGGACTTGCTGCGAGGAGACCACATATGCGGCAAAAGGACCCACTCCTGGGCGCCATAGGTACAGGGCCTCTCTTTCGGGGAGACGAGGCGCGCGAGCCCCGTGATCATGGGCGCCATCAGCGAGTCATTGAGCGGCGAATAGAGAAGTACGACGATCGTAACGCGCAAGAGAGATTGGCCCTCGCGCAAGTAAGACTAGAAGCGAGAGCCGAGGTGGAGGAGGGGGGGGGGGGGGGGCACGCCCGGAAACAAACGATAATTATAATAATAAGAACAAGAAAAGGCGGAGGCGAGAGATACTTGGGTCTTCGGGGCAAGAAGGCAATCAGACAGCACCGAACTCCGAGGAAGGAGCCGCGCGTTCCTGACGCGGCTCCCGCTGATGCGAGAACGGGGAAAAGGTTGCGATTCAGAGCGGCTCGGAACACGCGCGTCGTTGACAACAGAACAGGCAGGACACAGGAGTTTGAAGAAGATTGGCGTCAAGTTTGGCTTTGAATTTTGGACGAAGAGTGGGCCGGCTGAAGTGAGTTGACTCTCGGCGACGACGATTCAGAAATGGAAAACAACATGCTTGCGCCGAGAGTTCCACCGCGGCCCCCAGCTATAGTTAAGAGCATACCAGAGAAGATAGGCGGCAAAATGGATGCCGAAGACAAGCGCCCAGAACACGCCCGAGCGCTACACGAAGAAGACGAGGGCGAGGGCGCGTGGGGGGATCAAGCAAGGCATGGGGATGTTGGGTTTCACTAGCAAGGTCACTCTCTGGATAGTTAACGCGGGCTTGAGCATCATCATGGATGCGAACGAGATCCGGAGGGCATCCAGGTTGCATTGCAAGTGTAAAACGCGGCACGAGCGCATGTTGACGAGGCAGACCCCCGAGCACGAGCGACCGGCATTGCAGAGAAAATGGTACTGATACATGGGTTAGCCATGGACCCGACCACGCGTGACAAATATGGTAAGCCATGCGAGTCCAATCATGTAGTTATTAGTGGAAAAGCTAGAAGTACTGCTTATTATCGGCCCAATGTGCGCGGCCTTCAGCGCATTTCAGACAGTCGGCATTAAGAGGTCAGGCGAGCAGAGAGCGAAGGACATGTTGGAATAAGTCGTTGAACCCGTGACTTCGCGATGGATAAATGCGAATACAGAGAAGATGTGGCTTGTACTTCGTATCCGAGCACCCATCCCGAGCCTCATGTTGGAGCATCAGACCTTACTTCAGCAAATCAAAGCTTATGTTCACGAGGGTGACATGTGCTAGTACGCGGTCCAACAATCATCGGACTAGAAGAGAAGAGCTGCTCGTCTACAGACCGCGCGGTCCATGGCCAACAGTGCTCATGCAGGCCAGGAAGTGAACTTGCGGCGCCAGGGACCACATCGGCACGTGGAGTTACGAGGGGGTGGTCGCACTCAGAAATCAGTGATGTCATGACCGACTACGCAAGGCGATCTGACAAGGGCCGGCTAAGCAAATGAAGGAAGATGAAAGACATGGGTGCTCATTCAGAGCAGATGAAGTTACCAGTCAACCAGCCGAGGAGGGGCTCATGTGCACCACCAAAGTACAGTACGCAGAGGATTCGAGCTGTTATGAGGTGGAATAGACACGCGAAGACCATGGCAACACCAGACTACTGTTACCCGGTGAACAACGGCCGACCCGACGGGGGCCACCACGCCAGATCGGCGCCGTTTTTGGCACCTGCACTTGGTTCCTGGTGGGCCCCCCTCTCTCAGGCTGCGCGTTGTCTACCCAAACGGTGCGCAGCCATGCGTCCACAAGGTCTTGCACCGCTCAGGTGCGCTTATTCTGGCCGCGCGCTGTCTGCCCGGGCGGCGCGCGGCCATGTTTCCACAAGGCGTTGCACCGTTCAGTTGCGCCTCCCTCCCACTCCCCCCTTGCTTCGGCTGCCCCCGCCCCTTGTCGCCAGCTGGGCACCCCCGCCCCTGGCGCCGCGTCATCCTGACGCGCGGGCCCGTTTCCAGGCACCCGCACTGGCCTCGTAGCTTCAGTTTTGCCGTCCCGCCGTGCAGCCGCCACTCAGGCACCACAGGGACGCCATAGCCGTGGGCGCTTCCCCACGCTCCCCCGCAACGCCGCCGGCGCTGGGCTGCGGCCTACTGCCGCCCAGCCCGCCAGGGGTCGCCTGCGGGCGGGGCGCTCCTGGTCCTCGTTCCTCCCCTCCCCCCTGTCCCCCCTCGTCCGCTTCCCCCCCCCCTCCTCGCGCGCCGCCATGACATTGCCTCGCTGCTGTTCCTGGCGTGCAAACCAGCTCCACCCCCGGTGCCGCCCCGCTGCGGTCGCTGCGCTTGGGCGCTGGGCCCTGGCGTCGCCCGTGGGTGCGCCCTCGCCCCGGCCCGGTCGCTGCCACGATGAATGGTTTGTCTTCCCCCTCCCTCCGCGCGGTCGCCCTCGTCCATGTCCCTCTCTTGCACGCCTGCCAATTGGCCATTCGGTTGCCTCGAATTGCCACACGCTGGAGCGGACCGCCTCTGCTTCGCCGCCGACGGAAGAAGTATGTGTGTGGTGTGCTTGCCTATGTATGAAAGAGCGCGTTGTGTGGACGCTTGGTGGGGGATGGTCGATACGGGAGGCCCTATCCCTCTGAATTGCAAGGCGCCCCGCCCTCCCTCAAGGGGTGGTCTCGACCCCCCCTCTCCCCCCCTACGCGCTGGCGACAATCGAGGACGGCGGGCGCCAACGCTGGCGCTGGCGGCGATGACGACGACAACGACGACCGACGACGACGACGTCGAGGATGACGACGGCGACGACGACAACGATGAAGATGGTGATGACGATGATGACGATGATCATGGTGATAGTGGTGATGCTGAGGATGATGACGATGAGGAAGATGATCATGATGATAACGATGATAATCATGATAACGATGGTGGTGGTGGTTATGATGATTATCATGATCCTCATGATAGTGAAAAGGATGGTGACACTGATGATGATGATGACTATAACGGCGATGATCGCGACGATGATGGTGACGATGATGGTCGTGGTGACGATGAGGATGATGATGATGGTTCGCACGATGCATGATGAGGACGAGGGCGAAGCTGATGGTGATGCTGATAGTGATGGTAGTTGTGGTGCAATTGATGGAGATTACGATGATGGTGATGAAAAAGCATGATGGTGATGGCCAATATGATGATCAAGAGGATGAGGATGAGGGTGATGGTGATGATGACGATGGTGCCGATGGATCGATGATGCCGATCATGGTGATGACGATTATGAGGATTATCATGATGATGGTGATAGTGATGGTGATGATGATGATTCCATCGACGACGATGAACGATGCTGACAATGATGATGCTGATGATAGTGGTGATAGTGATGACGATGATGCTGATGATGATGATGGTGATGATGCTGATGGCGATGAAGGTGCTGACGATGACGATGATGGTAATGAGGATGATGATGATGACGATGACGAAGATGTTGATAGTGATGATGATGGAGGATCATGACAATGACGATCACGATGGCAATGGTGATTGTGACGACGATTGTGATGGTGGCGACGGTGATGATAGGAATGTTGAGGCTGATAACGATGATGATGATGATCGCGATGATGACAGTCATGATGAGGATCTTGATGGTGTCGTGATTGTGGTGATGACCGTCTGTATGGTGATGACTACGATGATGATGACTACGATGATGATGGTGATAATGACGGTGATGGCGATGGCGCTGATTATGATGATGGTGATGATGAGAATGTTAGTCGTACAGATGATGATGATGATGATGATGATGATGATGATGATGATGATGATGATGATGATGATGATGATGATGATGATGGTGAGATGCTGATGAGGATGACGACGATGACGATGAGGATTACGATGAGGAGGAGGACTATGATGAGGATGAGGGTGATGATGATGCTGCGGCTGATCATGATGATCGGGATGACGATGATGAGGATGAAAATTCTGATGATATTGATGATGCAGGTGTCGATGGTGATGTCGATGAGGATGAGAGTGATCGTCGTCTTCGGTCGTCGCTCCTTGGTCGTCGTTTGCCGGCGCCCGCCGTCGGCGTCTGTTGACCAGCGGCCAGGGGGAGGAGTTAGGGGTGGGGCGGGGGTGAGGTGAGTCCCCGCGGTGTTCCGTGCTCGCCGCATGGTGGGCGGGAGGAAGGCCCCCCAGTTCCGACGTGTCCGGGATGTTTCCCAAGCAAGCGTCCGCGAAACGCGCTCTCCAATGCATGTGTCTGTGTCTGTCTGTGTGTGCTTTGTGCTGTTTTGCCCCTGCGTATGCGTCAAGAGTGTGTGATCTGTTGTTCGACATGCCATCGGCGAAGACCGTGGCAATGCGTGCGATCACGGGGCTCCCCGCCAGGTGGCATGTAGACAAGACTGACAACAGCATTGCGCGGACGGACGCGCACTACAAGGAGTGGCTCTGGTGAGGGGCAGAGGACTCGGATTCGGATCTCGAACGATTGCGACACAATGTTCTTGGGTCACATGGCTATCAAATCCCCCCCGGTGCTCCGCGGGGGCCAAGAGGGAATGGCAGAGCACCTCCACCGCTCACCGCGCAGCCTGGCGCTGATGGTGGTGTGCGTGGTGATGTTATTTGTTGTTGTGCTGGCCAAAGAGGTACTGCTGGTGTCGCATGTGCTGTGTACGCTATTGCTGCTGGTGGTGGTGCTGCTGCTGCTGCTGCCGCGCATGGCGTTGCTGCTTCTGGTAGTGCTCGTCTCGGTGGAACTGCTGGTTGCGCTAGAGATGGTGGGTGTTGGCACTGGGACACTTCGCCCACGGTTGCGACGACTGTTCTTGCTTCACCGTTGGCCACAATCACTATTGCGACTGTTGAGTTGGCCTCAGTCCCGGCCACATGCATGATTGCGATTGGTGCTTTCGCCTCCTCACAGGCCACATCCATGATTGCGAATTTTGTTGTCTCCCCAGCGCCGGCCACATCAATGATTGCAAATGTTGTTCTCGCTTCAGCCTCAGCCATCCATGATTGCGAACATCGCTTTCGCCTCAGCGCCAGCCACATCCACGATTACGACATCTGCTCTCGCCTCAGCGACGGCTACAGACATGATTGCGATTGTTGCTCTCGCGTCAGCGCTGGCCACATCAATGATCGCAGTGTTGCTCTCGCTTCAGCGCCAGCCACGTCCATGATTGCGAACATCGCTTTCGTCTCAGCGCCAGCCACATCCACGACTACGATATCTGCTTTCGCCTCAGCGACGGCTACGGACATGATTGCGATTGTTGCTCTCGCGTCAGCGCTGGCCACATCAATGATCGCGAATGTTGCTCCCGCCTCAGCGCCAGCCAGATTCGTCATTGGAGCCGAAGATGGATCAGTGATTCTTGGGCTTACGCCACACCGCCGACCCCTTGGGAAGGAGAAGTGGTGCGTCGCTGGGTGTGTGTTGGGGGTTTCTGTGGGCTCCTCCAGAGACTTTCGGCTGGATGCGAGGACGGCGAAGGAGCGAGGAAGGAAGGGTCTTCGGGGCATCCAGCCGGCGCGTCTGGGTCGTGTGTCAGGGACTTTGAGGATGTGCGTTAAGATCACGAGAGAAGCCTCTCGGATACCTTCGGGAGACAGTTTGAAGGCCTTGGGGGGATTTACTTGGGGCCTCTTGGGCCCTCTTCCAGGTGTCGTGGGTGCGTCTTTGGGGACTCGTGGGGCCCCTCGTTGGGCTTGTGGGGTCTCCAAAAATGCTTTTTGGGGGCAGAGAGCTAGAATGTTCAGTTCGTGGTCCCTTTCCTGGGCCGTTCTTGAAGCTTTCTTTGGGCGCTGTGAGGCTGCCTTGAAGTTCTGTTGGGCCGTCTTAGGGCCATCGTGGACTGTCTAGAGGCCAGCTTGGGTGTCTCTTGAGTCGTCTGGAGACGGTGTTGGAGGCTTCGTGGGCCGTCTTCAAGCGTCGGAAACCCGAGAAGGCTGGAAGGTCAAAAACCTCAAAAAAAAAAAAATGCAAATCAAGCCGCTTCGAGGCCTCTTGGGGCGTCATGGAGGCATCCTGGGCCGTCTGGAAGCCATCTTGGGCGCCTTGGAACATTGCTTCTGCGACTCGGGGCCTTCTTGGACCGTCTGGGAGATGTCTCGGGGTCCTCCTGGCCCGTTTTGAGGCCGTCGATGCCGCCCTGGCAAAAGTGCTGGAGCTCAATATGCCCCCCGACCGGCCCGGCCGGCCCGGGTAGACCCCCCCCTCCAAATCGACACCGGGTCCAGCTCCCGGGGGAGGGGTTTGGGGAGGGGGAGGCATCTCACACGCCGACGATCCCCAAGGGGTCGGCGGATCCCGCCATCCTTGGGAGGCCGCGAACTGCGAATTGCGAAATTGCAGCCATTTCCGTGGCTCATGGGAGGACCTGGGAGGCCTGACGGAAGGGATCCGTCGCAAGCGAGCCGAGAGCGAGCGCTGTCGGCGCCACCCCCAACCAGCACAATAAGGCAACGACGACGCTCCCCCCTCCCCCCTCCTCCTCCTCTTCCTCCTCCTCTTCCTCCTCCTCCTCCTCCTCCTCCTCCTTCTCCTCCCTCCCTCCCGAGTAACCACTTTGCCGGAGACCCTAGGCACAACGGGTCTGGTGGGAGGGCTTAGGGTGGTAGGGTCCAAGCACAATCCTCCCTCCATCGTGCATGCACTGGCCACCATACCACCCGTTGCAAACGGTTCCGCCGAAAATTTCCAACTTGTCGACGTGCTGGATCGACCACGTTGGAAAGGGGTAGGGGGAGTTTGACCCCACTGTCCAGACCAGGGGCATCGATCCCCTGGTCAGGGGGGTCGTTAGGCCTGTTCCCCCCTGGTCCCAAGAGACCCCAGTCGTGGGAGCGCGGCCGAGGCGCCCAGACCAGGAGCGCTGCCCCACAGGTCAGGGGAGTCGTTAGGGCTGTTCCCCCTTGGCCCCAAGAGACCCCCCTATCAGGAGCCTCCCGCCCTGGGCCCCAGGCCTACGAGGGCCCCTTTCCTGTGCAGAGGTGCGCCGCCGAGGCGCCTGGACCAGGGGCGCTGCCCCACAGGTCAGGGGGGGTCGTTAGGCCTGCTCCCTCTTTGCCCTACGAAGCCCGACATTCGGGGCCCCCCGCCCCAGGCCTCCGAGGGCCCCTATTATATTGAGAAGGTGCGCCGCCGAGGCGCCTGGACCAGGAGCGCTGCCCCACAGGTCAGGGGGGGTCGTTAGGCCTGTTCCCTCTTGGGGCCCTAAGAGACCCCCCCGTTCGTGGGATGACGACTCCGAGGTGCGCCGCCGAGGCGCCCGGACCAGGGGCGCTGCCCCACAGGTCAGAGGGGGGTCGGCAGGGCTGTCTCCTCTTGGCCTTAAGAGACCACCCATTCGGAGGCCCCCGCCCAGGGCTGCGAGGGCCTCTTTCCTGCACAGAGGTGCACGGCCGAGGCGCCCGGACCAGCGGCGCTGCCCCACAGGTCAGGGGGAGATTCGGTCTCTTTACAACCAGAACAACCACTTTACAACCAGATGGGTTACTTTACAACCAACATAGGATTGGAAAGTATGGTTTTTCATCGAGAACGTCCACTTTGCAACCAGAACGGCCCACTTTACAACCAGAACGGACCACTTTACAACCAGAACGGGCCACTTTACAACCAGAACGGACCACTTTACAACCAGCTCAGAGTGGCCGTGCGTGTTTGGGCGTTCCGCAAAGTGCTCCAGAGCAAGTGGGCGCTCTGAAAAATGCCCCAGAGCAAGTGGGCGCTCTGAAAAATGCTCCAGAGCAAGTGGGCGCTCTCAAAAGTGCTCCAGGGCGCGCGGACGCTCTGAAAAGTGCTCCAGAGCACGTGGGCGCTCTGGAGCCCGAGCGCCTGAACTCTTTGCGCAGGCCCCAGCGATGCCTCTGAGCCCGAGCGCCTGAACGCCCTGCGCAGGCCCCAGCGATGCCTCTGAGCCCGAGGACCTGGGCGCTCTGCGCAGGCCCCAGCGATGCCTCGGAGCCCGAGGACCTGGGCGCTCTGCGCAGGCCCCAGCGATGCCTCTGAGCCCGAGCGCCTGGACGCTCTGAGCAGGCCCCAGCGATGCCTCTGAGCCCGAGCGCCTGGACGCTCTGGCGCTCTGAGCCCAGCAGACTAAGACAGGGCTTGCTAGCAGGGGCCAAGCGGCCTCAACAAGGGCCCCGTGCTCGCACGGGAATAAGGCGACAGCATACGTAGGAAGGCTCAGGGCGACGCGCTGCCCATTTTAGGGACCACTCACAGGAAGCGAGCACAGTGGCCTCCACAAGGGCCCAGCGCTCCAGGGAACTAGGCCATTGGCACCGCGGGTCTCTTGCGCCACGTTGGCCCCTGAAGCCCCACGGTGTTCTGCAAGGGGCTCAGTGCCCCAGCTCCAATTGGCCCCCTGCTGCTCCTCTTCTTGGAAGATCGAGGTTCAACGTCCCGAATAAATGCAACTATTTCGAAGATCGTTCCTTCCAGCGTCAGCCACAGCGCCAGCGCAGCAACGCAGGTATCCTGCTCGGGCAGCAGCCTCAGCCACCGTGCCAGCGCAGCAGCTTGAGCCACCGCGACAGCGCATCACCGCCACCTTTGTGCCTGCTACCACCAAACTTACCGCTGCAGCCCCGCTACCTCCACAATTCCGACTGACCCCCCGCTACCGCCGCAAATCCTATTGCAGCCCAGCTACCACCACAGTTCCCACCGCTGCCTGGCGACCACCACAGTTGCCACCGCAGCTTCCCAACGCCATGCAGTTCCCATTGTAGCCCGCGCTACCACCACATCTCCCACTGCAGCTTCCCACTGCCATGCAGCTCCAGTCTTGGACGGGATCATGGTCTATTCGTATGCCCTGCGCGACTAGCCTTCGCCCGTCAGAAAAAAAAGGCGGAGCAAGCAATGGCAGAACTGACCGACAGAGCTTAGAGAGCAGGTCAAAACCCTAATCCGCCCACCAGCACGCAACATACCATAGCGCACCAGGTCGCCGCATCGCCAACGCGTGCGCAGTGCTTCTTCGTGCGCGATGGGCAACTTTACAACCAACGTGCCTCAGAGAGCCCAAAGCCACCCTTGCTTGCCCACGGAGATTCTAGGAAAAGGCCCGCGTGCATTCAATATGTGTTTTTACTTGCCTGGTTGTAAAGTGCCCTTCCTGGTTGTAAAGTGCCCTTCTCGGATTTTGTAAGCTGGTTGAGTGACCCATCTGGTTGTAAAGTGCGCTTCTGGTTGTAAAGTGACCCACGCGCAGGTCAGGGGGGGTCGTTAGAGCTGTTCCCCCTTGGCCCTAACAGGGTTGCATTCTTCACACCTGCTGCCCCACCTCCCGCGCACGTCCGCCCACAGCATGCCCGCCTCCCCCCTGCCCCCCTCCACTTCGCTCCGGCATAGGAGCGACGCTGCGACGCCGCCTTCTCCCGGTCTCGTGGCCGACAGGGGGAGGGCTTTTGACAGCCCCGATTAGCCCGCCCGCTCGGACGTGAAAGTGGCGGCGCGCTGAGCCCCCCCTCCCCCCCGGCCTTGGGGCTGGTCGGCGGAGTGCATTCGGACTACCCCTCTCCCTCCGCGGCGCTCCATATTCCACCGCCCACGCGCACGCCTCTCGCCGCCTGGACCCCCCATTGCTCGCCCGCCCTCGCTGCTTCCCAAGACGTATGTCGAGGTATCCCTGGTCCGAAACCGGCCCAAAGTTTTGGGATAAAACGGGGCCCTCCCAAGGGGGGTCGGCGCTCGGCCCAGAGGGGTCGGCGCTCGGCGCGGACAGCGCCCGGCGTAGCCGACGCGCGAGACAGAGGAATCGGGGTCGGTGGCAAGTTTAGGGCGTACATCCCGCAAGACGTACATCGAGTTATCCCTGGGCCGAAACGGACCCAAAATTTAGGTCGCTGTCATGGGCTGGTAAGAACCATAGCACGACCACAGTGCAGTGCAGCTTGGAAGCTTGTGGCATTCCAGGCCCCGGAGCCAGCCGGCTCAGCGCGCGCGCAATCCAAAAATCTCCCTCGCGGCCCCTCGTGGCCCCTGCCGCGCCAGGGCCGCTAGGCTGAAGCGGCCCCGGGGGGCGCTGGCAGGCAGCGTGGCGTGGGGGAAGGGCTCGGGGCTCGGCGCCCTGCAACTCCTCCTCCTCCTCCTCTTCCTCCTCCTCCTCCTCCTCCTCCTCCTCCTCCTCCTTCTCCTCCTCCTCCTCCTCCTCCTCCTCCTCCTCCCTCCTCCTCCTCCTCCGCCGCCGCCTCCGCCTCCTCCTCCTCCTCCTCCTCCTCCTCCTCCTCCTCCTCCTCCTCCTCCTCCTCCTCCTCTCCTCCTCCTCCTCCTCCTCCTGCTCGTCCTCCTCATCCTCCTCCGCCTCCTCCTCCTCCTCCTCCTGCCCCCCCTTCTGTCCCCACCCAGCCCTCCCTCTCCCCCCCTGGGCCGCGCTGGAACCCGCGGCTTGCCAGCGGGCTCCTGCGCAGGCCGAGCCTGCCTAGCCCGCCCGACCGCTCTGGCGGCCCGTTCCGCCTTCGGCAGGCAGCTTGAGGGTGGGGGGCTGTGGGGCTTGCCCAGTGCTAGGGCAGGGCCCTGGGGGGTACGCAGCGCCGCCGCGCTTGCCCGGCCTGCAGGTATCCAAGGAGGCACCCGAGGAGGTACCCGAGGAGGTACCCGAGGAGGTAGCCAAAGAGGTACCCAAGGATGTAGCCAAGGAGGTACCCAAGGATGTACCCACGGAGGTGCCCCCCCGAGGTACGGCCGAAACCTACCACCGGGATCACTGGGACCGGTTCCCTCACGACCGCTGGCAAGCAGAAGGGGACTACGGGTACTTTCCCTTTCGTGCCAGCCGCTGGTGGACAGCTTTCTGCCATGCCTCCGATTTTAAGGGTGGGTCCTGCTCTTGGCCAAGTACTGGACTCGGGCTTCCCTGCAGGTTCGCAGGCGCCAGTATTTCTCTGACGGCCGCTTAAACCTCAAAGATGGGTTTAGGCACCCTCATTAAAACCGATCGCGAGCTTGGTAATCCTTCAGAGCGTGAATTACCTACCCCGGTTTCGCTTCCAGGCAAAACCAAGTCATACCGCGCGCCTCCTTGTCAAGCGGCCTGACCAGTACAGGCCGTAGTTTGGCATCGCTTGGTATATCTTGGAAGCGAGGGTGGTCAAAAGCGAGGTAGGTTTCTTTGCCCCCTAATCCTCCCCCTCCCCCGCGTGCCACAAGTGGCACGACGCCGGAGGCCTGAGCCCCCCTGGCTCGGGCCATCCCCCGCCCGCCCTCCCGCTCCCGAGCCAGCCCAGCATGCACCCGGGGCCCTGCCATCGCATGTCAGCGGCGTAGCACGCAGGAGGAGGAGGAGGAGGAGGAGGAGGAGGAGCGAGGAGGAGGGAGGAGGGAGGAGGAGGAGGAGGAGCGAGGAGGAGGGAGGAGGGAGGAGGGAGGAGGGAGGAGGGAGGAGGCAGGCGGGGGGAGGGAGGAGGGAGGCGGGAGGAGGAGGGCCGTTTCCTGCACGGGGCCTGTCTGGGGTCATGCTCCATTCGGACAGCGTCAGACTTGTCATGCCTTTGCGGCGCAGTGCACGTACACGCCGCTTCCAGGGTTGACCTCAAGTTGGTGGAGTGTCATTCCTTCCCCTCTTCCTCGACCCCTCCCTCATTACGTTCCCCATCCTGCTATCCTGCTCTTCCTCCTCATCCCCTGACCCCCGCTCCATCCTCATTCTCCTCCTCCTGGCCCCTGGCCTAAATCAAAGAAGCCTTCCTCCGCCCCGTCCTCTTTATGATCGGAGTCGGACTCTGGCTCTTTCAAGACTTACCACCACCACCACCACCACCCCACCATGATGATCCCTGTACTCCTCCGCGTCCTCTTTTGTCTCCTACCCCCCCCTCCGTTTTTCCGTACACGCCTCCTGTCTGGATCCAGGAGATCTTCGCGAGGGCGAACTTAGACGTGGTGCGCGAGGCCAGGCAGACTTGCTGGCCAGACGACGTCATCCCCGTGAAGATGTGGGCGGGGCGGGGGGGTGAGGAGGTGGAGGAGAGGAGGAGGAGAAGGAGGAAAACGACGACGAAGTGGAGGAAGGACGAGGTGGAGGAAGCAGGAGAAGGAATGGGTGAAGAAGCAAAATGGGAAGGAAGAGGTGGAGGGGGATGATAAGCAGGCGGAACCATTACATGGGCGCATTACGTTGTCTTGCGTTGTGTTGCTCTGCGTTGATTTGCGTTGTATGGCATTGCTCCAAGTTGCTTGGCATTGCTTGGCGTTGCGTGGCATTGTTCTGCATGGCATTGCGTGGCATTGCTTGGAATTGGCTGACACTCCTTGGCCGCGAGGAGCCAAGACCAAGGAATCCCGGGAGGGCAGCCGGGAACCAAGGTCGAGGAACCGTTGTTTGGCATTGATTTGCGTTGATCGGCATTGCTTGGCACTGGTGTGCTTGCCTGGCGCTGCTTGGCATGAAGTTTCAGCGCCTGTCGTTGCTCGGCAGTTGTTTGGCTCTGCCAGGCAGCAAGAAACCTAGACCAAGGAACCCGAGGAAGGTTGCAGGGAATTGAGATCAGGGAGCTCCAGCAAGGCAGGAGGGAACCAAGACCAATTAAGCCGAGGAGCGCTGGGAGCCACCTGGGATAAGCAACGTCGCACCCACCGCTTCGTCGTAAAACGTGTAAGGACTTCGTGGGCTTAATTGGGGAAATAGATTTGCGAGGGATCCAACCCTTAGCAGCAACATCTGACATTTGTGGTGACACTCTCTCTGCACGATCCGTGTCACAGGTGTGCGAAAATGGGCTGGGGGCCCATGCAATTTGTTTTATTGGGGCCGTTGGCGGAACTGCCCATGGGGCACGAAGGGTTGTGCCGGAATGGGCGGGCCCCGGCGGGCGGAACGCGTGCGAAGCTGGCCGATTGGCATAGAAAAGGCAATCAACTAAACAGTTTATGGCCCAGCAATGACGTTTGTCCTCTGGGGTCCGCGTGGGGGTCCTCTTGGATTCCTCTTGGGCTGTCTTGGAGGTGCGGCGACGACGACGAGGGAGGAGGATCAGAAGTAGGGAGGTGAATAAGGCGGATGATGGAGGGGCCTCCGTGCTAATCGGTAGGGGGGAGCGGGCAACCCTGGGTCCCCATCCCCTCCCCGTGGGGGAAGGGATGCGTGAAAGGGAGGGGCTTCCCCTGTACGAGATGAGCTGATCTAGTAGTAAGGAATTGGCTAGAGTATTGTCTGGGATGGGCGGAGTCTGTCAGTTCGTCGCTCGACAGGCTCCGACAGGCCATCACGCACGCCGGCGGGGGAGGTGAATTCAAGGGGGGGCTTCCCGTAGTACGAATTGGGAGGATGGAAGGGTATCTTGAAGCATCGTTGATGCAGACTGGGTTCACTGTAGTCATGCTCCTTCACCTTCTCCCACTCCTCCTCATCCATCCCTTTTCCTTAACACATAGCTCTCCCCTGTCGCACCCCTAGACGCGGCGTCAGTAGGGCAATCGTTTGAAAAGTTTGCAGCCGCTTCAAGGATGGAGGGCGGTCCGTGTTCAAAATGTTGCTCTCGCCATAACGCCGCGCACATTCGCCTAGAAAGTTTCAACAGTTCCAAGGGCTGCATGGACGAAGTCCCGCTCTGGCAGGCTTCTGATTGCATGACGCAACAGGCACGTTCATTCGCGGTGCTGAAATCCCCGGGGTCGTGTTCTGGCACGAGTTGGTCTGTCAGGGCGCAACAGTCACGTTGATCCGCGACCGCTGAAGTCCCAGCAATGGTGTTTCAGTACGATTCAGGATGCTCAGACAGTTGTCTTCGAATGGGGCATTTCTCGCACTGAAAAGAGTTCTTGCAGCGCCCTATTTCGAGGGAGCTTGGAGGGAGGGTGAGTTGCGACATCGTTGATGCATCTTGGCTTTGCACACTGCTCCTCCACCTCCTCTTCCTCCTCCTTCTACTTCTCCTGCTCCTCCTCTTCCCCCTCCTTCTAATATTACCTGTCGTCCCTGCTCCTTTCTCCCTTTTTCACCCCTTCCTATCCTCTTCCTCTCTCCATGTTCGTCCCTTCCTCCGAGCTGCTTCCCCTGCCTCCTCCCCCTCTCCCTCGCTCCCTCCATCGCCTCACCAGAAACGTTCTGCCATTGTTTCTCGCTCTGGCTTCTTAAAAAGGTGGCGGCTGCCGCAAGCAGCCAAATCGAAGACGCAAACTCCGAGCATGTGCATACCTTTTTTGCTCCTGTGTTTCGGTAGATGCTACGAGCCTACAAGACGAGCACGAAAGTTCTCAGCAAATGCGTCCTTTTCGCAGCTGCTGGGACTGCAGACCATGCTCGACGCTCTGAAGTGTTTGGGCTGCCGGCTTCTACTGCCAGCCTCTCGTCCTCCCCCCCGGTGCCTGCCTCTCCGGCCGCTGGGCAGGCAACGGGTCCCGCGCCTCCTCCGACGCCCGATGCCTCCCCTCTCTCTCTCTCTCTCTCTCTCTCTCTCCCCTTCCCCCTCCCTCCCCCCATCCCTCCCTCCTTCCCTCCCTCTCCCTCTTTTCTCGCTCCTCCGTGGCTCTTCCCTCCTCCTTCTCTCCCTCCTTCCCTCCCTCCCTCGCTCCTCCTCCTCCCTCCTCTCTCGCCCCTTCCCCCCCCCCTTCCTTCCCCCCCTCTCCCTCCCACCCTGCCACCTCTCTCTTTTCAGCCGCCCCCAAGGTTCAAGGAGGCAGCCCAGCCACATCAGACCAAAACCATCGCCCCGAGGCCGCATCTTGCCCAAACCCCGCATCACCCAGCCCCCGCTACAGCCCCGGAGGCGCCGCAAGCGGCCAGTACCCCCTCCGACGGGGACCTCTGGGGCACCCGGAAATGTTTGTCCGAAGGCGGGACCGTCGATTTTTAGCATCTTCTGTTTTCCGTTTCCTCCCTCCCCCATGCCATCCGTCTTCCCCATGTTGCCGTCCTTCTCCTCTCCCTTCCCTCCACGACCCCGTATCATCCCCCCTCTCCCTCCACACTTACACAATATGAATACTAATCTCACTCCCCTGACTCTGTCGGGAGAGTGCCCAGTCATCTCTGCATACTGTTTTTTCACACCAGATTGCATTAGTATTTGTTTATCCGATGTGTTTTTTCAATCCGGTCGTTTCTGGGTCTTCAAAATCGTGCTCCCGCTGCAGCGCCGCCCTCATTTCCGCCCCCGTTCCCGCGCCTCCGGACGGCACTTGGCATTCGAAAGCGCTCGCATCGGGCAGGCACGGTTGCGGAGGACATGGAGTCAGCATTCTGGACAGGTTTTGTCCTCTCGTAGACGGGCCACTTGCCCTCCAAGTCATCCGGTGCCATGCCACGGTGTGCAATGCGGTGCTGTGTTGTGCACCATTGTGCGATGCCATGTGTCCCGTTGCTATGCGTTGTGATGCAATGTTTCGCTACGCAATGCCACACAATGCTATGACGTGACATGCTCTGCCGTGCTCTTCTTCGCCATGCTTTTCCATCCATCGCGTACCCTCTTGGGATCATTGCCCTTCTCGACATCCAACTGCGCTGATATATAGGAAATCCACGCCATGGTTAGGGATGGGAGGGAGGGGTAGGACGTCAGATGTGACGCGAGCGCACCTGGTTTGCCTCCCTCCCTCCCCTCCCCTCCTCCCCTCCCTCCTCTCCCCTCATCCTTCCGCCCAATCTCATCCCCTCTGCACTTCCCCCCATCGCGCCCCCCTCCTGCCCCCCGCCCCCAGCCCCCTTTTTTCTGCCAAATCGGCAGCGGCAGCGCCTCGGGCAGCTGCTGGCCGGTAGTAGCGCTGCCAGGCGTTGGTTCGCACCCCCGGGCGAGTCCTCCTTCCCCCCATCCCGCCCCCCTCCCCTCCCCTCCCCAGGATAATGTCGACGAGGGAAAGTAGTTGGTGGGAGAGCAGGAGGAGGAGGAGGAGCAAAAGGAGGACGAGGAGGAGGAGGAGGAGGAGGAGGAGGAGGAGGAGGAGGGGAAAAAGAGGAGGAAGTGGAAAGGAAGAAGGAGGAAGAGGAAATGTGGAGGAGGAGGAGGAGGAGGTGGATGGTGGAAGGTGGAAGAGTTGAGGAGGAAGATACAGGGGAGGACGAGGATGCTGATGATGATGCTGATTCGAGGAGGAGGAGGAGGAGGAGGAGGAGGAGGAGGAGGAGGACTAGGAGGAGGAGGAGGAGGAGGAGGAGGAGGAGGAGGAGGAGGAGGAGGAGGAGGAGGAGGAGGAGGGGGAGGAGGAGGAATTGGACGAGGGAGGAGTTATACAGGGTGGAGGGGGAGGAGGAGAAGAAAGAAGCAGCAGGAGGAGAGAGAGCAGGAGGAGGAGGAGGAGGAAGAGAATGAGGAGGAGGACGAAGGAGGAGGAGGAGAATGAGGAGGAGGAGGAGGAGGAAAATAATACTAATAATAATAAGAAGAAGAAGAATAAGAAAGAAGCAAGAGGAGAAGGATGAGGAGGAGGAAGAGGAAGACAAAGATGCAGAGGAAGAGGAGGAGGAGGAGGAGGAGGAGGAGGAGGAGGAGGAGGAGGAGGAGGAGGAAGGGGAGGAGGTCGCCCCTGGCCGCCCGCGCGAGGTACGCGCTGCGCCCCGCCCAGGGCGATTCTCGGGTCCGACGGGCCGCTACGGACCGCGGGGCGCCGCCGACGAGCCGCCGCGCCCCCGCGAAGAGGCGAGGGGGCTGAGGAGGGAGGGAGGGAGGAATTAGTCATTCCTAACGCTCCCCTCGCCCTTTTCGGCTGCCCTGCCCACTCTCCTTTAACACAGTGCTGGCAGGGCTGAGCACTGACGCGGAGGGACCGTCTCCGCAGTTGTTCGCTTTTTTTTCAGAGCAAAGCATTGGTAGAGGAAAGCCGTGAATGGTGGCAATTGGCGCCGTGCAGTCTTGAAGGTCTGAGTTGTCGAGGCACGCTGGCACCCCTCCCTGCGGCCGTCTTCGTGCGCCGAGGGACCGTAGGGAGAGCCTCGGGCCCCCCCCATAGGCAATGGCGCCGTAAGGTGTGGAGTGGAGCCCGCTGCGCAAAACAAGTTAGTGATATGAGCCTCGGATAAAATAGCACTCGAACGCCTGGACTTCTGCTCAGCCTGGCTAAGGACTTTCGGCTTCCTGTGAGCCGCAATCCGATCGAGGTTTCCCTGCCGATTCTTATATGTCAAGAAGAGGGAGCGGGGGCGGCGTTGTTGACGTTCGCTGCGGGGTGAAGCTGAGCCGTGCCAGCCTCGTCGGCCAGCAGCCGGCCCCCTGGCTCCGCAGTGGGGCGCAGCCGAGGCCGGCGCCGCTCCACGTTCGCCCAGAGAGGAGGAGGGGGGAGGAGGAGGGAGGAGGAAAAGGCGGACGAGGAGGAGGAGGACGAGGAGAAAGAAGACGGGGGAGGAGGACGGGGGAAGGTGAGGAGGAGGAGGAGGAGGAGGAGGTAGGAGGCTGGAGGAAGAGAAGAAGGATGAGAAGGACGCGGAAGAGGCCCAAGAACCAGGGGACGGGGGAGGAGGACGAGCGAGGGTGAGGAGGGGGGCGTCGACAACGAGGAGGGGGGGAGGGGAGTTCCAGGATTTCCGCCGTCACGTCCTGATAGGGTTATCCTGGCGAAGGGCCCAGCCATATGTTTGTGGAAGCCGCCGTTGTGAGAACTGCCTTTGGTGGAGCGTCCTATGGGCACGACGCGCGCGAAGGGTGCGCCGCGATGGGGCGGGGCCGCCAGGCGGGCGCTGCCGCTGGGGCCTTCGGTGGAACTCCCCATGGGACCACGAAACTTACGCGGGGCGTGCCAAGGTGGGGAAGGGGGGGCGGAGAGCAAATCCATGCCGTTGGGTCGTTCGGTGGAGTTCCCTGTGCTACCACGAAACGTGTGAGAGATGTGCCAAGGTGGGGCGGGCGGTATGCGAACCATGCCACTGGGACATTCGGTGGAGCTCCCTGGGGGGCCACGAAACGTTCGAGGGGTGTGTCAGAATAGAGGGGGAGCGGCATGCAAACCATGTCACTGGGACATCGGGGCCACGAAAGGTGCGAGGGGTGTGCTAAAGTGGGGGCAGGGGCGGCACGCGAACCATGCCAGTGTGGCATTTGGTCGAGTTCCCGACGGCGCCACGAAACGTGCGAGGGGTGTGTCAGAATAGAGGGGGCGGCACGCGAACCATGCCACTGAGGCCTTCGGTGGAGTTCCCTGTGGGGCCGCGAAACGTGCGAGGGGTGTGCCAAATTGAACGAGGGGCGGCATGCGAACCATGACACTGGGGCCTTCGGTGGAGCTCCGTGTAGGGCCGCGAACCGTGAGAGGGGTGCCAAATTGGACGGGGGCGGCATGCTAACCATGCCACTGGGGCTTTCGGTGGAGCTTCCTATGGTGCCACGAAGCGGGCGGGGGTTCTGCCAAAGTGGACGGGGGGTGGCATGCGAACCATGCCATTGGGTCCTTCGTGGAGCTCCCTGTGGGGCCACGAAACGTGCGAGAGGTGTGTCAGAATCGAGGGGGGGCGGCATGCGAACCATGCCACTGGAGGTTTCGATAGAGCTCCTTGTGGGGCCGCGAAACGTGTGAGTGGTGTGCCAGAGTGGGCGGGGGGGCGCATGCGAACCATGTCATTGGGGCCTTCTGTGGAGTTCCGTGTGGGGCCACGGCGCGTTTGAGGGGTGTGCCAAGGTGATGCGAACCATGCCACTGGGGCCTTCGGTGGAGCTCCCTATGGTGCCACGAATCGCGCGTGGATTGTGCGGACGGGGGGCAGCATGCGAACCATGCCACTGAGGTGTGCCAGTGTGGAGGGGTGTGCCATAAAAGAAGGTGGGCGGCATGCGAATCATACCACTGGGGCCTTTGGTGGAGTTCCGTATGGGGCCACGAAGCGGGTGAGGGTTGTGCCAAATTGAGGGGAGCGATGGGAGGAGGGAGGAGGGTGAAAAGGAAGGGAGGAGGAGGAGGAGAGGAGAGGAATCGAGAGGAGTCGCGGGGATTGTCTCTTCAAAACGAGGTTCCAAAAACACCACGTGGGAGTTGATGCTAGACGAGAGCAGCGGGATTTTCCATGGCAGCGCATTGGGTATACGCTGGCGGAAAAAATCGCGGACGGCATCTGTCATGCCGCAGAGGTCATTCACACCGCCCGTGGTCCCAAGGCTGTGAAAACAAAAAACGCGAAGGGTCAAATGTGCAATTTCCACAGGGAGTTGCGCTGCTCAAGATTCGCCTCTAACCATGGATCACTGCCGCCAATCATCTTGCATGGGGCATGTTTGTTGTTTCCCGACGCAACTTGGATGAGGGCGAGGGCCTCGAGACCGACTTTGCTGTATGATTTCCGGAGGAGGTTTTTCATTGCCGACAAATTCAGAGAAAATGAATGCAGGTGCCCCCCCCGCACCCCCACATGTCCGTGCTCGTGAAACAGAGCAAGTTTCATCAAATTCCTCCATTACCCTATTCGCCAAAGTTCGACGAAAGTTTGGAATTTTTGGCTCTGAAGGGGCGCGCGCCACCTCCCATTCCTGAATTCCCTCGCCGGGACCACCGCGGAGAAAAGGAAGAGAAGATGGGGTGCTGGCGCTAAGCCAGAGGGCACCCTAATTGCTGGTTACTCCAGCGGTTCTGGGCCACCCGAGGCATCCGAAGCTGCTGGCTCAACACTTGCTCCACTCCGGGCGACTCCGCCAGAAAACGCCGCCAGACAGTTCAAGGCGCCCCCGCCTGGGGTTAGATCTCGGTCTCGACCTGCAGCGCCGCCGCCGCCAGTTCCACTCGCAATTGCGACTGAGACTCCGGACGCACTCCATGAACAGCCTGACCCCGCGGTCGGTTCAACCGATAGCGATGGGATTACAGGCGAGCTTTTCACTTGGAACTTGCTAATGGCGGGGACAGAAAGGAGGCCGCGCCCGTGCCCAACTTATTCGGGGGCGAGGACCCCAACCCGATGCCAACGCACCTAGCGCCCAGGCGCCAGATCCATAGATGGCCCCCGCACCGTCGCAAGAAGAAGCTCGTCCAACGGAAGACAAACAGCCGGACGGCCCGTTCTTTGAGCCACCGCCCGCGGAAGACCCGACGGATGATTGGGGCGAAACGACAGCCTTGTCGCCAGTCAAGATTGAGATTCGTAGAGCGCTGCGGGAGGTTTGGCAAGTGCAGTTTAGCCCATGCCCAACATCATCAATTTAGTTCGCAGCATTGACTCCCACCCCGTGGACCTTAACATACTCCGCTCACATACTCGCGCCCAGGGGTCACGCTATTTGCGAGGGGTCGAGAAGCATGGGCTTTATGCGATCGATCTTGGATCTCCGAATCGGCGTGAATTGAATTTCGGAAGGGTCCATAGAGGCTATCCAGGAAGACATGGGTGCAAATTTCGACCCCGACGCACCGCTGCCCGGGGCCCCTGCTCGGCCGATGCCGCGGGAAGTCGCGCTGGAGGACATTGCCCGATTAACCGGCGGTGATCCTACGGCCGCGGGGCCAGGAGCCCGAGGGCATGGTCGGCTTAGCCAGCGGTGACCCTCATGCTCGTGCTCCTGAACCAGCGCCCGTGGACTCCTCCGCCCCAGCAGGTTTGGGAAGCTTTCCACCTGCTGAACAAGTTGAGGTTGAGCGAGTCGAAGAAGAACCGCTGGAAGAGGAAGCGGCCGCGGCTGCCGAATCCGGCTTACTCGGGAGAGGGCGGCCGAAACAGTTCGACGCTGTCTATGAGCCCAAAAATCGGAGCCATGGAAAGAGAAGAGGCACCCAGCATGCGGGGCTTAGCCTCGGATGGCCAGGGCGACCTGGGAGCACCGAGCAACGACGGGCAGGGCATGTGCGAGGCTGCCGGCGCGAGCTCAACCGGCGCCGAACAGGAGGTCGCCCTACCCGCTGAATTCCCCCGACGGGGGCGACGCCAGACAGCTCGCGCCGAGACGACAGACAGCTCGCGATGGGGACGACGCCACTAACGGACCAGGATTGGCCGAGAAGCACGTTTGCAGAGGCGGCCCACCCGCGCATCCAGACAGGGCGCAGTTACCCCTGGGAGCTCCACTCCCTCAGGGCCCACAGCCTACATGCGTCGCCCTTTCGCGATGGCCGGAAAAATGTTGTTTTTGACGACGGAAGAGCAGGGGTGCGATCATCTGCGAGACTCCGCCCATCTTTCAGAGCGACGTCGAGCGGGCCCAGCTCCATTCGGTGCACGCGCGGATTTTTTGGGGGATGGCGATCCTTCTCCGAGAGTTTTGCGAAGCTGCAAAGAGATGGATTCGATCGCGAGACGGCCGCAGTGCAATGCAGGGTTTAATCAGGTGTTCGCCAGTCTCCGCACAGATCTTCGGGCTAAAAGCAAGCGACGATTACTTGTTCTGCGATTTGATCAGTAATCTGTTGCAGCGACCAGTAGACGACGACTCGCGAGACAGATCGAGCAATTTCCAAATTTGGTATTGATCAAGGCTCTCCAGGGGCAGTCGGCGTTCGTCGTCGACGTCGAACGTGCGCGTGCCCCCATGCGAGTCCAATGGATTGCGAGAAGTGCACGGCCCGTTGTTGCACGCAACATCGCTGAGGCCAGCGGTCGCAGCAAGGAGGCATTCAGTGCCCGGAGGCGCCGCTCGGCCACTGCAACTTGACGTGGCTGCCCCCCTTCGCGGCCAGAGGCATGCCGGACGAGGCGATTACAGAACGTGGGCGTGATCCCACTCTGACTGAG